TCCTAGTATTTATTTCACTTGAGTTTTGTGACTATATTTACACATATTTATTGTTTGTCATATACAGGGCTGGTGTGGAATGATGAGGGATAAAGGATGTGCAGTGACTACGTGCAGCGTGTGCACCAGGGGTACAGATCTTTATTCCTGATTACTTGGTCGATCACAACATTGTTCTCTGCATATAGGTACTTTGTATCTTGCTCCTAAGTACAGTTAAAAAGGGGATGCACCCATGCCACACTAAGTGATGCTCTACATTGTGGGGAAAGAGGACAGTCATGTGCAAGGGTCAACATGAGCGTAGAAAGTGAGTGAAAGTATAGGAAGACCTCCTTTCAAGATAGGGAAGTGTCTTCAAGTGAGTTCAGGTGAAAACCAAGTGTAAGTCATCATAGAGCATCTCCTGCTGTATACCCAGGTTGTCAGTGAAGTAGGCATGAGCTTCTCAAGAGGACTGGTTAGTGAAGTGCTCTGGGAACACTGGATAATCTTACCACACTGTGTTTAGAGTCATCAGACATGGTCCCACTTGAGAGAGTGTACTTCTCAGACTCAGCTTTGGTTTTTCCGACCCCTTTGAACCAGTTCTTGTATTGTTCCCGGACCTGTAGAGACAAAACATGCTTGGGTCAGCTCACTGAAGGGAGTGAGCATAGGAAGGGTCCTGGGTGGGAATGGGCAGTAGTACCTGCTGGCTCAGGATGCAGTACACCAGGAAGATGAAGACGCCCTGCAGGCTGTTGATGATAGTGAAGAGGTAAGCCATGACATGGGCAGCTGGACCCACCTGAAGGATGCCCAGACACCACGTGCAGCCCAAGATGAGCAGCTGAGCTGTGGCTTTAAATGTCAGCATCCTGGGTAGGAGGAAGAAGGAGGTCAGGATGCATCCAGACAACACAACCAGGGCTGGTTTCATGTCCACTCCATGATGCTTCTGACTGAATTGTGATCAACTTTGACCTTTGTTGTCAATGTTTCCCTAAAGAGAAACACTATTTGGGTCCAAGATGGCATTTGACTAGGGCTGAGGATAATGGTGACACTCAAGAATGTGAGTTTTGAAAAGATCATGATGTTTCATGAAGATCCCTAATTTTGTTCAACTGACATTGTCGAGAATGTTCTATGCACCTGGCTCTAGGCTGGGGCTAGGGCATTCAAAACAAAAAAGAACAAGACGTCTGTTCTTACAGACCTTAAAATCTGGTGGAAAAACAAGAACAAATGACCACTTATAACATTTGCAAAGTGAGGTACTTCTTTCCATCCAGGGCTATTCCTGTCCTCACCCTCTCCATGAACTGAGCCAGGATATGCTTTGCCCGGAATAGAGGCCATTGATTCTGTGTAAAGTTGAGGAAAGCAAAGGACATCCCCAAACTCTTAGAGGATGTGATATGTGGATGAC